ACACACACACACAGACCTGGAAGAAGGAGGATGTTTGGAAGGCAGCCATGATGCATAGGAAGCAACATCCCAGCGCCACAATCTGCCACACTAGGTCCACCCCCATCTCGTCCAGTCTTGCCTTCGAAGTCAAGTGACTGCTGTGATTGCTGTGCTGCGATTGCTGCGATGTGACTGCTGCGATGCTGAGGTGACTGCCTGTGAGATGGGCTTGTTGTCCTTCCTCCAAAACACCAACAACACACATCAACAGCAGCAAAACTGTGCCCGCATTCTCTTTCTCCACACACACACACACAGGGCCAAGATGAGGGAACGGCTGCTGACCACGTGCGAGCGCGAGTTCATCCACAATGTGATGAAGGAAGGCGGGGTAAGTATGACATACACACACGCACGTGACAAACGGTCTGCATGCGCAGCTGCGTGACACACACACATATACACATGCACGCTCGTCTTGCCGCTCGCTCACGTGATGATGCCCTCATACACACACACACACACGCATAAAGGAGGATGGCGAGCTTGTGCGGTTGGATGGGAGAGGGAAGAGCGAGATGCGACGCGTGCTCGTGACACTGGGCAGGCAACAGTACGGACAAGCCACCGCATCCATCGGCAACACACAGTGGGTCAACTGACACATGTGTATGCGCGCTCGCTCGCTTTGGATCGAGGCTGTCTGGGTGGCACGAGGGGAGGCACAGAGGGTGATGCAAGGACGGGTTTGCGCACTAACACCATCACCGCTGACTGCCCTTCCACACACACACACACACACACACACACACACACACACACACACACACACACACACACACACACACACACACACACACACACACACACACACACGCACACGCACACGCACACTTTTGTGTTGGTATCAAAGGGCAATCTGCCGCGTGTCGTGCAGCATTGTGCGACCGCACGAGGACAGGCCAACCAAAGGCTTTGTGCGCTATGGCGTCACCCTCTCGCCCATGGCATCCCCCGACTATGACGCGGGCGGGCGACCCTCCGCGGCCAGCATTTACCTCACACGACTCCTCGAACACATCTTCCGCGAAGCGCGCGCGCTGGACGACGAGAGTCTCTGCATTGTTGCCGGCGAAAAGGTGTGTGTGTGTGTGCATGCTTGCTTGTGTCTGTGTCTATGTGTCTGACTGTGTGTGTGCGTGTGTGTGTGTGTGTGTGTCTGTGTGTGTCTGTGTGTGTCTGTGTGTGTCTGTGTGTGTCTATATGTCTGTCTATCTGCGTCTACGTCTCCCCTTCAATCCTCCAATCTGTCTGGCAAACAACGTGCCACAGACGAGACTGCTTCCCCCCCCCCCTTGCCCATTGCATAACTACGCTTTCCTGCTCCTCGATTTGCTTCAGGTGTGGGCTGTGAGCGTGAATGTGACGGTGACGAACGATGACGGCAACATGGAGGATGCGTGCGCGCTTGCTGCGCTGGCTGGCCTCATGCACTTTCGACGCCCTTACGTCTCCATCGCTGGACAAGACGTCGTGGTGGTGCGTGTACCTGAATGTGTGTGTGTGTGTGTGTGTGTGTGTGTGTGTGTGTGTGTGTGTGTGTGTGTGTGTGTGTGTGTGTGTGCGTCTGTGCGTCTACGTTTCAAATGTGCGCTCGTTCTATCATCCTCCATCGTCTGTCACGGTCTTGCGGATGCCCACCCTGGTATTCCACCACCACTTCTCACCTGTCTGCTGTGCCATCTCCACTGCTGCTGGTCCACTACAACCCAGCACCCCTTTGATGAGCACGAGCCTGTTTCCCTCGCCATCAACCACCGGCCCCTCAACGTCACCACCGCCCTCTTCGACAACGGGTACACATCAGCGCACACGTGGTCTTGTCTGTGTGTGTCTGTGTGTTTGTGCGACTTGTTTGTGTGTGTCTGTGTCTGTGCGACTGTTTGTGTGTGTGTGTGTGTGTGTGTGTGTGTGTGTGTGTGTGTGTGTGTCGCTGTGTCTGTGTCTGTGTCTGTGTTTGTGTTCGTCACTGCGATGCCCACGATGATGGCCCCTGTGTGCTCATTCCATGCCGTTCTCTTCCCCCCCCCCTTCTCCAAACACGTACGCGTATGACAGCGATCTCGCCTTGGTTGATCCCACCAAGATTGAGCTGAAGGTCGCAGACGGCTCAATATCAGGTGGGCAGCACAATACCACACACACACACACACACACACACACACACACACACACACACACACACACACACACACACACACACACACACACACACGCACGCACGCGCACGCACACACACACAGATACACAAGTACAGAGTTATTTTTTTCTTCCCATCACCCATTGTGGGGGGGCGTAAGACTATTCTGTTTTACTGTGCCTCTGCTTCACAAGTACGATGGGATACACTATTCCCCATGCGATGAACCCACTGTCAAGTGGTGAAGGAGAACAATAAGGGCCTCCTTTGACTCTTATTTTTCAGACCATTGTGTTCTTACCTCTCGTCGCATGTGACACCTTTCTCTCTCGCTCCACCACTGTTGCCCATTTTTCTCTTCTTCTGTCTCTCTATCCTGCTCCCTATTTCTTGCAACCTGCCTTCCTTTTCCGTCGCACCACAGCTCTCGCACCACAGTTCTCGCTTTCCATTCCTCCGCCCCTAATCACCAACCCTCCCCCCCTAACCACCGTCCCTATCACTACCACCAATGTCGTGTGCAGTGGCCATGAACACACACGGCGAGATTTGCGGCATCAACAGCTCGGAAGGGCTCGCTGTCGACCCAGAGCAGGTGCACACAACAACTTAAACACACGCCCTGGTGATGTGTCTTCACACGCTGTCAATGTGAGCCTTTGCCTGGCGCGTGACTCGTACAGTTAGTTCACCTTGTCCCAACCCTCTTTCTCACACGTCCACGCACACGTGGTTCCCCCCTTTTGCCTGCTGACCAGATGGAGGCGATTGTGGCTGCCACAAAGCACCGTGTTACACACTTGTTCACCGCGCTTAACAAGGCATTCCCAAAGGAGTAGCAGCATCTCTCTCGCCCCATGCTTGTGCTTGTGTCTGTGTCTGCAACGCTTTGTGTTGGTGTGCACCAAATAAACTGCTCCCCTTTCGTCACCAGATAAACTCCGTAGCCTTTGCATCTCCCAAACATACACACCCCACCCCCACAACAACTGCACCTCGCCCTTTGCTGCTTCTCCACCAACCAACCAACCCCCCCCCCCAACACACACACACACACGACATGGCACGCACACGGATTTCAAAGGATTCCTGCTGGCGTTAACCCCAACGGCTGTTATTTCAATGTGTATGGAACTGAACAACAACGGGAAACGCAGCAGGGCACGGGGAGCGAGGAGTATCCGCACAGAGACACAATGCCTGCCGGTTCTGCTTGTGGCACAACAGTCCCTTTACCTGTTACCCTTGGCAACACGCTCGAGCTCGTCCTTCTTCTTGATGGCGTAGGAGTTGGACGAGTTCTGCAGGCACAGTCAAGGGTGTCGGGAGAAAGCCATGAGCAAATCAGAAACGTGCAGGTGTTGGCAAAGGTGGCAACAACGAAGCCAACACAGCGCCACATCACCGACGAGCAACAACGGTATCGAGTACCACAACAACAACAACATCACTTTTTTACCCTTTTACTTTTTTTTTTTTTTTTT